TGTGGGGAATAGGAAACTCAGGGCTGGGTTTGGAAAAACTCCTAGGAGTCTTCCATTCCCCAGAGGGAAAAAGAGGGGGCTTCCCAGGCCTGTGGAAGAGCTTATGCTAAGGCATGGAGACCATAACTTTGAGGTGTTAGGATGGAATTGAGGATGGTTTAGGGGAGTTTGTGGAAGAAAAAGTTGGAGATGGAGACCTTGATTGTCAGCCTGAGGGACTGGATTTCAGAGGGGTTAGGACTGGGAGAACTTGGAGGAAGCCTTAGCTCCATGGACTCCAGTGGTCACTAAACAGAGTAACAGGGTATGTATGTGTAGGGGAGGAAGTTCTGGGAGGATATCCTGCTGTCCCACTTTGTAACTGTGGAAACTGAGGCTCAGGAAGGTGCAGAGTAAGAATCAAAGGACCAGTGAACTGGGTGCAAATGTTGCTGCCAGGCAAGCAGTACCAAGGAACTTTGTATCCTGTGTGTTGACCATTATCCCCACACTCTACACCCATAGGAGGTGAGTGCCTTTGGGGAAGACGGTGAGGGTGATGACCTGGACCTGTGGACAGTGCGCTGCTCTGGGCAGCACTGGGAGCGGGAGGCTGCTGTGCGTTTCCAGCACGTGGGTACCTCTGTGTTCCTGTCAGTCACTGGTGAGCAGTACGGGAGTCCCATCCGTGGGCAACATGAGGTGCATGGCATGCCCAGTGCGAACACACATAATACATGGAAGGCCATGGAAGGCATCTTCATCAAGCCTGGTGTGGAGCCCTCTGCAGGTCATGATGAACTCTGAGTCATGGATGGGTGAATGGAGGGTAGCAGGGTGGGGCAATTGCACAGCCACTCTCAGTGGAGACTTTGGGTTTGTAGGGGTCCTCAAGTGCCTTTGTGATTAAAGAATGTTGGTCTGTCATTGTGTTTGTTGTGAGTGTGGGAGTGATATCAGGAAGTGCCAGCCATCCCTGACCCAGTTCACCATCTCTTCCACCAGCCCAGCCTGGCTGTTGAATATGTCCAAATTGAACCCAGGGCACTTAGCCACTGATCAACATCTCTATCCCTTTTTAAATTTTTTTTTTTTTTTTTTTGAAACAGGGTCTCTCTCAGTTGCTGAAGCTATGGTTGAACTTGTGATCCTCCTGCCTCAGCCTCAATTACTACCACAATTTGCTGCTGTCTAAAACTTTTTGATGTTCTTCCCTGAGCAATTAGCTCTCCCTATCTACCTTTAAATGGTCTGATAGCAAGTTATTCAGTCCTCCAGCCCCTAAGTTTAAAGAACTTTCCTGTTGTCTAGGCTCCATGGCAGAATGAGTCCAGCTGGGATGGGACTCAAGCTCTTCAGGCCCATCATCCCTTGCAAGTGAGGACCCCACTCTCCTTGCATTGTGGCAGTCTTTACACCTGTCTTCGACTAATAGCCAAGTGAAAACTCTGCCTATCTGCTGGAAAGTAGCATCACAGGCTCCTTCCTTCCTTCCTTCATTCTTTCTTTCTTTTTTTTTTTTCCCCTCTGTTTTGATACTGGGTATTGAACCCAAGGGTGCTCTACCACTGAGTTACATCACTAGCCCTTTAAATTTTTTTTTTTTTAATCTGAGACTCACTAAGTTGCCCAGGCTAGCTTCAAACTTGTGATCCTTCTGCCACAATCTAAATTGCTGGGATTACAGGCAAGCAGCCTGCCCAGCATGTGGCATCTCAATTCCCCACCATTACTTTCCAAGTTCTCAAAGAACAGAGAGCTTCAGGGGCTGGGAGTTGTGGCTCAGTGGTAGATCACTTGCCTAGCATGTGTGAGACCTTGGGTTCGATTCTCAGTACTGCTTGTAAAGAAATGAATAAAATAAAGATCCTTCAACATCTTAAGATGTCTTAAGGGAAGGTGTCCAAAAAAGAAAGTTTTTTTGCAGAGATCTGAGGAGGTTTCCTGGAAGAGGAGGTATAATTTGGGCAAAATTTAGAATATTACAATTTAAAGCAGGAGCAGACAAAGTAAAATCATTAGTCCTGCTGTCCTGTGAATGACCTCTAAAGGTGATGGTTGGGATGACAGGTTTCCAGGACTTGGTAACAGCCAGGTTGTTGCTGCATAGGACAGTAGGAGCTTCAGGGAACTGCTGTTGATAGAGGGTACTGCTTCCCTGAAGGAGAGAAAACAACAACAAAAACCAACAACAAACAAAAACCCAAGGAGAGGCTGGGGTGGCAACTACTTGGGATTTGGAATAGTGATTTATTTTTATGTGGTGCTGAGGATCGAACCCAGGACCTCACACGTGTCAAGCGAGTGCTTTACCCCTGAGCCACAACCCCAGCCCCAGTCAGTTGACTTTATTAAAGGATGGGGTTAGGCATGGTGATGCATGCCTATAATCCTAGCTACTCTGGAGGCTGAGGTAGGAGGATGAGAAGGATCTCAAGTTTGAGGACAGCCTGGGCTATTTAGACTCTATCTCAAAATAAAAAGTTTAAAAAAGGGTGTAGCTCAATCAGGACCACACATTCAAAGGATGGAATGGGAGAAAAGCTTTAATCAATTGAATCCTAAGGGGAGGGGGGTCATGTGTTTGCTCTGGATCGATTACTCTGTTTCTTCTCCATGAGACACTTCCTGGCCCCTTCACTGCCAAGCTTCTTGAGTGTTATATATAAGTCTACAATCTTCTCCCATCACTCTCCAGACTTGAGAGGACTGAATGGAAGTAAAGGTAAATGGAGGTGAGCCAGAAAACTATGGGTCAAAGGAGTGGGGCTGGGAGAGGGGAAGGGAAAACTGTCAATGTAGGATGCACTATGAAGCAAGTTATCCCTGTGTGCAGCTGGAACTCAGTCCCATTGAGAATATCATCAAAATTACCCAACCTTGGAAGCTGGGGTATTCACCTACCAAAGTATTTTCCCTCATTAGCTGAAGGCTACCAATTGGGGCAGCCTTCAGCCAATGATGGGGGCAATAACCTGCAGCACTTCCCACTTTGCCTGTACATTGGGTAAGGGGTTCTGGCAGCCAGAATAAAGTCCATATATAGAGCCACAGGTGCTGGTAATGAGTATTCTTTCTGTAGAGATGAGGGCAAGGGAATGTGGATGGAACACTTAATAGTGTGGACTATACCCTGGAAAAACCAAAGTGGTCAATGTACACACATAAACAAACAAGATGAGGAATGTTAGAATCCAATAGTGCACAGAAGGTAAGAATCCCTGGGCCACCAAAGCTGAAGCAGTGGGAACAGATAAGATGGCTCCAGGCAAAATGAAGGACAAGACAAAAAAAGAAGTAGCAGCAGAAATAACTTTGGATACCTACTAAGTGCCAGGTTGTTCCTGGCAACAATTCTATGAAGCAGTTTGAATTATTGTCTCAATTTTGCCAAGAGAAGCGAGATTCATAAAGATTCAAACCCAATTCTGCATCAAAAAAAAAACAAAAAAAAAAAAAACAATGTTTGCTGTCAGCCATTGGAATGGGAATAAAAACGGGAGAGGGCACAGATGCACGGTCACATAAGCACACTCCCCCCACCCGCAACACACACTGGAGTTGTGCTAAGGCTGGGCGATATATACCCTTACCCGCTCATCTGCCTGGCCACAAAATGGATTGCAATCTCAGAAATACCCTTCCTCATACCGCTAAGATCTGCACGGCTCCATGAGCCTCAAGACCGGTCCACCTCTACCGCGGAGGTTTTAGGCAAGCCTCATTCCGGTGATGCTCTGAGGTTGGGCAAAAAGCGCAATCTCTTGAAACCCCAACACGGCCGAATGATTTATACCATCCAAGAGGTACAGAGAGCAATCTCAGCACACTATGAAACAGCCTACGATCCCACTTAACCGGCAGACTTGGGAAAAGGTTCAGACACTTCCCCAGTGGCCGCAATTTCCTCCCGGGTGAGCTCAGCCACGCGGCGGGCGCCTCCCACCAAGCTTCAAAACGCTCTAGCTGGTACCGCTAGAAAACTTGCAGAGATTGGAGCTGAGAAAAGGCGGGCAAAGTTCCTTTTGATAAGTTATGAATGGGGAAAAAGTGTTTGTAGAACTCCTTGTTAAAACCACGGAGCCTGAGACTCGGGCGGCGCCAGACCAATCCGAGCCCGGAGGCTATTTTGAAATCGCTCCGATAGCAGCCAATAGGTGTGCGGGAGGCAAAGCCCTGCGCCGGCGCCAGCCAATGAACGCGGTGCTATGCTAAGGGGCCGGGGTCCGGCCCCTCCGACTGTCAGCGGGTTAAAGATGGAGCCGGCGAGAGAGAGGGCGCCACGAGGTGCGGGGTCGTTGGGGTGGGGACTACGGAGGCGAACGACGGCCAGGACCCTCTTCCACTAATCTGCGACTTGCCTTCCCTCTGAGAGGAAGGGGTATCTGTCCGCGTGAGTAGATGGGTCTGGGGGTGGGGGCTGGGGTGACGGGGAACGGCTCTGTCTGGCCTGACCTGCGGAGGGGCCCTATCAGGACTCCTGGCGCCCTCTCTGGTCAGGGAACTCCAAAAGGGCGGGAAGCCCCCCATTCTTCTGCTCCGTTCTGACCCTTAGGGCATAAGAATCTGTTAGGACAGAATATGGAACCCATGCTGGGGGCAAGAGGCCCAGGATGAGGTCCAGAGCCGCAAGGGCGCATCGTCCCGGAATGGGGTCGCCCTTCTTGGAGTCGCAGGCCAAGGCAGGGTGCAGGGTCATCGGACTGTACTCACCCTGCTCCAAGGGCTAGTAGGCTTGGACTGCGGCTGAGTGCGGGCCCCTCTCCTTTGTGTGTGTGCCCCCTCTGAGGTTTGTCCCATAAGCTCTTGTTCCAGGGCTGGGTTGTCTCCTCCACAACCTGAAGCATGCTGGGGAAGGCTGGGGTTCCCCGGGGTTCTGAAGACCTCAAGAGAGACAACACTGATGAGATCCTCTTCTCCCCTTGTCCTAGATAAGGGTTCTGGCCTCATCCACCCATCTGTGGTTGAAATTCCCACCCTGCATGTATTGAGGACTATGGGACCCTCCTGCTGGTTGCAGGTGCTCTGACGAGGTTGCACTACTGTGCTCTGAGAAGCAGTGCAATGATATTGTCAAAGCATTTGGGACCAGAACTGGGAATGCCCCTCATCCACAACCTCTTCTTTCCTTTTCCTCCAGACAGATTCCTTAGTCCTGCAGGCCCTCCCCTCCCCCCTGCCCAGTTTGCTCCCTTCTCCATGGAAACTTGAGAGTCTAGGCAGGCCTGGGCCTCTAGGGTCAGAGGGCACACTTCCCCCAGGCAGAGAGCCCCACCCAAATGGGCCTGCATTTCAGGTTTCAGATCTCACCCATTACCACCACTAAGAAAGCCAGGCCTACCCGACACTCTTTCCCTGTTGCACTACTATGGGCCACTGGGAAGCAGTGCAATGATGAAAGGGCATCGGTCAGGTCTGCTCACTGCTCATAGCACTTGGGGAGAAGAGTATTTGCTGCCTTACTCAACTTCTCAATTGAGAAAGCTGAGGTACTCAAAGGGTAAGTGTTTGGACTAATTAAGCAAGGGTTTAGAATTGGACTGAACCATCCATCAAAGAGATGATCTGGTGGGTGGGTCCTTGGGATCATCCCTCAAGCTGTCCATCCTGATCATGCTGGACAAGTGCAAAGAGCCTTCAGATTCAGAAAGGCTCTTGGTTGAAGATCTTTCCACTTTGCCTCCCCAGGTAAGTTTGGGACTCCAGGAGCTTGTGGAGAAATAGAAATCCTTTGCATGCCTGGCTTAGACCCAGATCAACCATGGACATGTTGGGGTAAAAGGGACCTAGCCTTCCCTGAATGTTTGAAGAGGATGAGGCTCAGAAAGAAATGTTCTTTTGGGTGGGGTTTGGGAATGAGGGTGAGATAGGCCTTCTAGGAGAAAGCCTTCACACCAGAGCATCAGCAGGAGTGGGACAATCTTAGATGGGTGGACTTGGGATAAAGAAACGTGCTGGTGAGGCCCATCAACAGTGCCAGCTTGTTCTTTTATAGGGAAATATTCCCTGATCCTGCAGAAGGGGCTGTGAGGTGTCTCACATGTCTGCCTTCCCAGCTGGAATAGGGGACCTGAAGTTAAATTTCCAAGGAGCCTTATTCTAAGTGTGCTTGCAGGGCCACCTCTACCTGACACAATGTGCCCTTTAATACTAGCCTGACTCCTAGAAAGGAGGCTCAGGTCTCCAGATGGACTTTTGGGAGTAACCTTCTCCCAGCAGAGAATACTAGAACACTGCCTTTAATCCTGTCCTGGGGAGTAAAAGCCCTGGCATCCATGGTGGGAATGAGGAGAAATGACAAATGCTTCTCTTGACTCCTAGTCCTGACCCCTTGGGATTTCTTGATCTCGTGGTTACCTGACTCAGGCCCATTCTCCCTTCTAGCTTCTAGGGGCCATTGCTGGGAAGTGGCCACCCCTCATTCATGTGCAGATTCTATACCTACTGCTGAAGCAGCTATCTCCTGCTCTTGCTGGAGGAAGGTTTTTGAACTCAGGGCTAGCATTATCTCCTTGGGAAAACCTTCCCTGGAATATGCTTCTAGCAGTGCCTTTGGATCACAATTTTTCTCCAGTGGCTGAAGTCCCTAATAGGGGCCTGGGAGCCTATGAAGTCAGAGACCATATGTTGTTTTCATTTGTGAAATCTTTCTTGGTAATATCTGGTACAGAGGAGGGGCCCAGTATGTTTTTTAAAAACACTAATAGGGAAAAGGATGTAGCTCAGTGATAGTGCCTTGCGTGCACAAGGCTCTAGTTTTTATCTCTAGCACCAGAAATGAACAAACAAGCGAAAACAAAGTGTGAAGCATGGTTATTAGCATAATGTGGTAGGAGTAATCAAAGGTCTTTTTGAACTTCAAAGGGTGCTTGTCCTGTTTGAAAATAGGCATATATTTAAAAATAAAGATTCATTTTGTAAGTCACATGGGGGCAGGAAGCAGGAAAGAGACTCGAATTCAGGTATATCTGACTGAGTTTCTGCCTGAACCATTAGGCAAGATGCACAAAATAGACCCTGTTCCTCCTTGATTGTCTCCATCTTGCTCTCTGACCTACAAGCTGGAGGAAATGCCTACTACCTCCTATGCTGGAGAGAGCTGGAATTAGAGGGCTGGTGGTTTGGCTATTAGGAGACAAATCTGTTTTGAATTCTCAGATATACTCCATTGAATCTCAGGGCTGATGGAAGGGTTTTCCGGAGGGCACTACCTCTCTTTAGTGGCTGGAATGGATGGTGAGGGCAACTACTGCCCAGATAAGGGAGGGAGGAGAAAGGCAAGTTTCAGGGGGAAGAAGTTATTTGCCAATCTGGATGTGTTCCATGTGAGATGCCCAAGAATTGTCCCTAGCAGACATTTGGATATGGGTTTGGAATTCAAGGGAGGTTGAGCCTGAAACAAAGTTTTGGGTTAAGTCAATTCTGGGTTCTTGAACAGCATCAAGAACTGTTAAAGACTGTAAGGTGAAGAAAGGGTCTTTGGAAATACATCAGAGGGTCAGGAGGAAAGACACCGAGAAGGGGCCAGAATGCAGGCAACTAGAATGATAGAGCAAAGAAGTGATCCTGAAGAGGGTAAGATCCGGGAGGTGTGTGTATGATGCTGGAGAGTAGGGCAGGAAAGGAATAGGATGAAAAATCCAAAGCTGGAGGAGTCAGGGGCAGAGTGAAATCCTATGGGCATTGCCTTTGTGAAGGCGAAGCAGGCAGGGTACTTGTCCAAGTGAAGAAGCACAGGGATAGAGAAGGGACTGGAAGCTGGGAGAGGGGTTTGGGGCCTTAAAGAAGTGGCAAGATTTAGGGAGATGCCCATGTCCTCTGGATGGGCAGGGACCAAGTGGAGATCAAAGGACTGATAGCTCCCAGAATGGGACTATTAACCACGCAGCTACCTTGGCCACGTGGAAGATGTGACAGCGCATGCCCAGAGGGTTGGGCATTGTCACGTGTGACAGTCACAGGGGATTTGGCCCCTCCCCTTGCCTCCCCGCTGATTTATTGGGGGGTGGGTCAGGGGAGGGGGCTGCGGCTGTCAGAGAGGGAACAGGGAACTTGCACCGCAGCTGGAGGGGAGAGTGGGTGCGGCCCGTAAGGGGACCCCTCTGCCTTTGGTGATCTCAGCCCTGGTCCTAGGGAGGGGTCCTCTCACCTCGCCTCCGGGCGGTTTGGGTATCCAGCCGCCCTGGCCCCAACGACCGCTAAGTTCCCAGGCAGTTCGGCTCCACCACCAGCAGCCGGTTTAGGATGGAGGTCCTGGATGAGTTTGACAGTGAATTTCCCCAGAGTGTGACCTTTTGCCAGCTCATTTCGGAGGAGGACTTTGAGAGACAGGCAGCAACCTACACAGAACGCTCTCTGCGCCGCCTCTTCCGCACTCTTGACCGCAATCCAGCCCTGGCGGAGAGGGTCGTGCGCAAGGGCAAGCAGACCGAATGCGAGCAGCGCGGGCTCCTTTCCTTTATCTGGGTGCGCACTGCAGGAGGTGGGGACCAGGAGGGTGGGAGAAGTGACCACCCTGGCCTGCTCCCCCTTAGGGTGGAGCTCCGAGGAGAGTGGGACTTTGTGGGGTACCATGGGTTTGGGAGGGCACTGTTGGGCTTAGTTGGGGTTGTTATGAGGGTCTTCCAGAAATCAAGACTACCTAGCTTTTAGAGAGGAATGGGCAGATGACTCCTTGGTATCCTCCTCCCCTGCCTATCCCGCTGTTGTAGGCGAAGTTCATCTGTGCTGTCCAGGGAGAACTGAACCAGTGTAACAGCATGGGCACCCTAGAGATGCACCAGCGCCTGGAGCAGTTGAAAAGGAGCATCCATCGAGTGCACCTGTACTCCCAGGGTGAGGCCCAATCTCTGCCCAGGCTGAGCTCTGGGAATCTGAGCCCAAGGCATCTCCATATGCCCATTACATCCTCAGCAATGCTGGAGAATTGGGTGACCAGCTCAGGTCCACTTGAGGTGCCCATCCCCATTCTTGTTGTATTTGCCTTTTTTGGACCAGGTTTTATCCAGAGCAGGAAGAGAGCAGGCAGGTGGTACAGGCCCCATCCAGGGAGAGAAACACTGCTTCTAGTTAGATTAGTTAGTTAGGCAACTCACCAGCTCTGCTTCTTCCTGGCTGTGATCCTGAACGAGTTATCTCACATTCCTTAGCCTAAGAGCCTCTGAAGTATGTTTTTGGAGTGTTGAGTGAAGGGTAGCCGGCAGTGTCTGACCCATCAAATCTGATACAGGACCCACTTTTCTCTGACCCTGTGTTTGGAAGTGGTTACTCTTATGAAAGTAAATATAGCCAGGCCATGGTGGGGCCTCCTTGTAATTCTAGTGACTTGGGAGGCTAAGGCAGGAGGATCATAAAGTCAGGACCAACCTGAGTAACTTAATGAGATCCTATCTCAAAATAATATAAAGGGCTGGAGATGTAGCTCAGTGGAAAGAACCTCTGGGTTCAATCACCAGTATTCCCTGCCCCCACCCCCAAAAGGAAAAAGAAAGTAAATATACATGAAACTAGAGACATCAGTAAACATCTTAGTATCTGTCACTAGCCTCACCTACTATCCCCATCTTGACATGATACTTTTACTTTCTGCACCCGTTGCCTTTTTTTTTTTTTTTTTTTTTAATGGTGCTGGGAATTGAACCGAGGGCCTTCTACATGCAAGAGAAGCACTCTGCCAACTGAGCTTTATCCCCAGTCCTGCACCCCTTGCCTTTTCCTGGAATATTTTAAATGAAATCTCAGTTATTGTCATTGTACCTCTTGAATACTGTAGAATGCATTTCAATTTTATTTATTTAACTTTTAAATTTATTTATGTTAGAGATTGAACCCCTGGCCTTGCTCATGCTAAGCACCTATCAATGTTCTGTACCCTTCAGCTGTATGCATCTTTATTTTTTATTTTATTATATTACTTTTTTTTTTTTTTTTTTTTTTTTTTTTTTTTTTTTTTTATTGTTTGCAGTACTGGGGATTGAACCCAGGGGTCATGCATGCTAGGCAAGTGTTCTACCCCAGAGCTATATTACTAGTCCATGCATATTAGGTTTTTTTTTTTTAAGATATTTTCTGACATAACTCACAACAGTCCCACAATATTTGCTGAAATATAGTCATATCTTCCTAGTGATACACTCAGTCTGTCATGTCAGGATCCATTGAGGTCCACACATTATTTTCAGGCATTAGGCCTCTACACTTGATCTTAGCTAAAATGGCAAGAAGTGATCAGGCATTGAGTCTTTTATCTTCTTTTTAAAAAATTTTTATTTGATTTTTTAGTTGTAGTTGGACACAATATTTTTTTTTTTATGTGGTGCTGAGGATTGAACCCAGTGCCCTGCATGTGCTAAGCCAGGGCTCTACCGCTGAGCCACAACCCCAGCCCTTACCTTCCTTTTTCACTGGATGACTATACAATTTGAGTCCATATTGATACATTTGTGATCACGCAAGGATGGCAGGGATAAACTGGGCTTGCCTTAGGCAAATGAGGATCCATGACCAGTTTAGCTGAAATCCCCTTTAAGGGGAGATGGTTCCACTTTTCTTTCCTCCATGTCATTGATTTCAACTGTGACATCCTCTGGTGACTCATCTTGTTTTCTGTTCTTTCTTTTTGGTACTGGAGATCTAACTCAGGGGTGCTTTACCTCTGAGCTACATCCCCAGCCCCTTTTTACTTTTTATTTTGAGACAGGGTCTCACTAAGTTGCTGAGGCTAGTCCAACTTGTGATTCTCCTCTCTCAGCCTCCTGAGTGACTGGGATTATAGACATGTGCCATTGTGCCCAGCCTGCCTTTATTCCTTAAATAGGCTAAAGCCTTGATTAGATTCAAGTTGAGTTACTTGGTATATTTGGAGATCTGCTACCCTAGGGTGAGGCAACTTCCTTCAGCATCACATCAGGAGACAAGGCTCACTTGGAGATTTCCACTTCTGTGTGGTGCTACATGTGAGTCTTCCGTATCACCGATTCATTTGATAGACCAATAACACGTATAGCCCCCTCCCCAAGTAACCTCAATGTCCTTTTTCTTTGTTTTATAGAAAATAGACACTTAAGGAAGTTAGCTGACATGTATGATATGTGCAAGATCATGTAGGTAGTAGCTGAGCCTGAATTTGTAGTTGACTGTAGTTGGTCTGGAGCATAGGCTCTTAGCCTCTAGGCCATTGCTGGGTGGTAGTTATTATGACAGCAAATGAGCTTTTTTTTCCCCCTGTATGTGTGTATGTGTGTGTGTGTGTGTGTGTGTATTTGTGTGTGTGCACATGTGTGTGTGTGTTACTAGGATTGAATCCAGTGGCATTGTACCACTGATCTACATCCCTAGCCCTTTTCATTTATTTATTTTTAATTTTGAGACGAGTCTTGTTAAATTGCTAAGACTGGCCTTTAATCTGTAATCCTGCTGTCCCAGCTTCCCAAAATGCTGGTATTATCACCCCCTGTATAGGCATAGACCTGTAATGGGCTATATGATGGGGTATATGAGCCTCTTGTAAACACCTACTTTCTTGGTCATCTCCAACTTTAAACAGTAGAAGTAGCCAGATTAGTTGAATGCAGTAGGAAAACCTAAAAGAGAGGAAAGGAGGCTGGCCCAGGATCCTATCCCTCAAAGATGCCTTCCCTGAGCCCATCTTTAAGATCTCCTCAATGTAGGTTTCCACGTGAAGGAAGCACTCTTCTTTTACATCCCAGACCCAGGGACTGGGTGTTGGTATGGGCTCAAAATGGGGTCTAGATACTCCCGCAGGTGTTGGCAGACAGCTTTCCGCAATGCTTGGGGGGTAGATGGCAGGCTCACCTGTACAGGCCAAGCCCACCTCTCTGGCATTACTTTTCATGAAATTCTGCCCTTGAAGTCAGACAACCCAGTTGTGGATCCTGCCTGTGCTTTATCAAACATAGGCTCTGATTTCACCTATAAGATAAAGACCATGTACTCTTTCTCCATGAGGGTGTGGGGTTAGTCAGATGGTGCATATTATTGCCTGTCATGGTGGCCCTAGGTATTGTCCCTGGTACCTTCTCTTCCTTGCTGGGGGAATGGTGTGAAGACCCTGCACCATTGTTTTTGGCCTCTACTCTACCCTGGTCTGGCCTTGGGGTAGGTACTCATTGGCACCTTTTGTCACAGATGCCAAGAAGAGGAAAAGGAAGCCCAAACTGAAGAAACCAGAACCCATCCTCTTACGGGACCGGTCAACCTCCCCATGCCTGCCACCAACCCCGCTGCCACCACCTGCTACCACCATGGCCTCTGTACTGGCCCCATCACCCCCTGTATATACTATGCCCAGGGTCTTTGGCCCTTTCTCTCCGCTGCCCAGCAAGTCGGTCAGTGGGAGTGTCCACCACTCCAGGCTGTCCTGGGAGGGGCAGTCTCTGTCCCCCTGCTCAGAACAATCTACTGCTCTCCCAGGCCCATAGCCATGGCTCTCAGATATCTGCAGAACCCTCTTTGCAGTCAAGGTCTTGGGTAGAACAGTAGTGGATGAAGCAGATAAAAGGGGGCTGCTCTGGTTGAGGGGTCCTGGTGGAGGTCAAAGGCACAGAGCTCCACCTTCTTGACCTCAGGTGAGCAAGGCAACCCCAGCTGCCCTTCACAGGATCCAGGGGTTCCCAAAGGACAGGTGGAAAACCATAGGCCTCTCCCACATCTTTAACCTCATACTGCCTCTTCACATGAGTGTTATCCCCATGTTGCCTGAATTCCAGGCTCCAGTTTATCCTGTGTATCTCACTTCAGGTCCTTCCTCCTCCAGGCAGCCCTTTAAATCCCCTAAGCTGAATTAGGATCTCCTCAGTCAGCTGCCAGTCCCTCCCCATACTCTTCCTTGTATCCCTAAATTGCCAAGTCAAGGTGGGTATTGATATATCTGCTGAATGAATGAAAGTCACATAGTTCTAGTTATTTGATAAGGATTGTTTTTCTGCATGCTGAGATCCCTACAGTTGTCCTGAGATTTCCTTTGTTTTCTGCAGATGGAGAAATTGAACATTTCAAGGTCTGAAGTGAAATTAAACTGGAATGGCTTGTCCTCAAACCCAAAGAGGTGGAGGGAATTTACTTTGGGCTTAGGGAAATGAAAAAGGAGCATTTGTGGGAGGCATTTGGGGAACCAAACTTGGTTGTTTTTTGTTTGTTTGTTTGTTTTTTCCACTTAATTCTCACCATGGTCTTCAGTGATTATTGTCCTCATTTCCCAGAGGAGTCTAGACTCTGTATGAGACTCTCAAGCCTGTGTCACAGATCAGCATGTTGAGGCTGGGGAGGGGTCCAGGCCTGAAATCCCATCTCTGCCCTGTTTTTCAGCCACATGGTTGATCTGACCCCCTTGGTTCTCAATCCCGGAGGCTTCCATTTCTCATACTTGGCTGGAAACAGTGCGCATAAGCTTCACTGCCCTGGCTTCCCCTGGTAAGCAGGTCTCTGTGCCTCTCTGGGCCAGATAAATTCTAGCTGTGCCCCAGCCCCAGTATATCCACACTTTGCCTCTAACAGACATTGTAGTATTATGCAAAAAATTAGATAGATAGATAGATAGATAGATAGACAGATAGATAGATAGATAGATAGATAGATAGATAGTGTGTGTGTGGAGGGGGTGTTAATGGGGATTGAACCTAGGGAAGTGTTACCACTGAACTATATCTCCAGCCCTTTTTTTTGAGACAAGGTCTTGTTCAGTTGCCAAGACTGGCCTCAAACTTGCAGTCCTCCTGTTCACCCTCCCCTGTAGCTGGGATTTCACGCATGTGCCACTGTGCCTGGCCAAATAAATCTTACTTATGATTTCCATTTCTGGGAATGACTCTAAATGTAATTAGAGCTGCCAGAAAAGTCATTATCCCTTCCCAATTTTTGTAATTTTGAGAAATTAGTTACAAACCACCTGAAGTTCCAACAGAAAAGGAATGATGCTGCCAAACGAGGCAGCCCTATGATTGTTATATATGTGGGTTTTTTAAAATTGCTTTTATTTTTTAAATACATGACAATGTAATGCATCACAATTCTTATTATACATATAGACACATACAATTTTTCATATCTCTGTATATAAAGTATATTCCCACCAATTCATGTCTTCATACATGTACTTTGGATAATGATGTCCATCACATTCCACAATCATTGCTAACCCCTTGCCGCCTTCCTTCCCCTCCCACCCCTCTGCCCTATATAGATTCGTCTATTCCTCCCATGCTCTATATATGTGTTTTGCAAAGCACAAGTTCACTGAATGTAGGTTTTTAAAATCACCTGCCTTTTCTACTTGCAATGTTAAGTATTTCCCAAGTGTAATTTATTATTATTATTATTATTATTATTATTATTTTAGTCATCAATATACCTTTATTTTATTTTTATGTGGTGCTGAGAATTGAACCCAGGGCCTCACACATGCTAGGCAAGCGCTCTACCACTGAGCCACAATCCCAGCCCTATTATTATTTTTTTTATTATACATGGACACAATACATTTTATGTATTTATTTATTTTTTAATATTTTTGTTTTTTAAATTGTAGTTGGACACAATACCTTTATTTTTTTATTTTTATGTGGTACTGAGGATCAAACCCAGCGCCCTGCATGTGCTAGGCTAGGCGAGCACTCTAACACTGAGCCACAATCCCAGCCCCTGTTTATTTCTTTATTTAAAAATATATTTTTTAGTTTTTGATGGACCTTTATTTAATTTATTTATTTATATATGGTGCTGAGAATCAAACCCATTGCCTCACACATGCAAGGCAAGCATTCTACCACTGAGTCACAAGCCCAGTCCATTGTTTGTTTATTTTTATGTGGTGCTAAGGATTGAACGCAGTGCCTCTCATGTGTGAGGTAAGCACTCTGCCATTGAGCCACAACCCCAGCCCATGTGTAATTTATTATTATAATTATTGTTGTTGGTACTGGGATTGAACCCAGGGTACTTAACCACTGAGCAACATCCTAGCCCTGTATATTTTTTATTTTGAGACAGAGTCTTACTAGGTTGCTTAGGCCTTGCTAAGTTGTTAAGACTGGCCTTAACCTTGGAATTCTTCTGCCTTAGCTTCCCAAATTGATGGAATTACAGGCAGGAGTCAACATATCCAGCCCTCAGAGTGATTTAGACTGACTGCTTCATTGTGTACCTTTAAAAAAAAAACAAAAACAAAATAAAACCCAAACACTAGCTTTTAGTTTTTAGACCTGTTTTCAGCTCACAGCAAAATTAACCAATAAGTACAGAGATTCTTACCTCCACAAATGCATAGTCTTCCCCACTATCCACATACTATACCAGAGAGGTACATTTGTTGCATTTGATGAACCTACATTGACACATCATTAATACTCAGACCTTCTAGTTTACATTAGAGTTCACTTTTGCTGTTGCGCTTTCTATGAGTTTAGACAAAATATTAATGACATGAATCCTTCACTATGGTATCATGTAGAGCAGTTTCACTGTCCAGAAAATCCTTTGTGCTCAGCCTATTCATTCCTTCCTCTCCCCCACTCCTGAAAACCACTGATCTTTTTACTGTCTCCCTAGTTTTGCCTTTTCTAGAACATTATATAGTTGGTGTCATACAGTAAAAGAGCATTTTCTGATTGGCATCTTATGCTTGATAATATGCATTTAAGTTTCCCATGTCTTTTGGGGGGTGTGTGTGTGTGCAATGGCCCTTGAACATTTTCCATGTCTTTTCATCATGTGATTACTTCTCTGAAAAATTCTCCTTTGCCTGGGTGTATCACATTTTATTTACCTGTTTGTTTCCTTAAAGACATTTTGGTTGCATATAATTTTTGGCAATTGGCTATAAATATCCGAGTGCAAGTTTTTATGTGAACATAATTTTCAACTTGAATAAATGTCAAGGAGCATGATTGCTAGATCATGTACTAAGAGTGTGTTTAGTTTTGCAAGAGACTACCAAACTGCCTTCCAAAGCAAATGGACCATTTTGCATTCTTACTAGCAATGAATGAGTTCAGATGACTTTTTTTTTTTGGTACTAGGGATTGAACTCAGGGGTATTCAACCACTGAGCCACATCCCCAGACCTATTTTGTATTTTATTTGGAGGCAGGGTCTCATTGAGTTGCTTAGTGCCTTGTTGTCTCCTGTTTCAGCCTCCCAAGCCAATGGGATTACAAGTGTACGTCACTGCACCCAGCCACTTTTTAAAAAATGTGCTTTGTTGCCCAACTGGCCTTAAATTCCTGGGCTCAAGCAATCCTTCCACCTCACCCACTTAAGTAGCTGGGTCTACAAGAATGTGACACTGCACCCAGTTTCCATGGATATGTTGTAGTGGTGGTGCTGGTGCTGGTGCTGCTGGGGGTCAAACCCAGGGACTCATGGATGCTAGGCAAGCACTGGATCACAGAACTATATCCCAAATCCTGTGATTTATATGTAAGAAAATCACATAGTTTCTCACAGAGAGTTTACCTAAGAGAACCCCAAATAATAAGTTAATCTTTAAAAGTGCTTTTGGCTGCTTTTGTAATGAAAAATATAAATGCAGAGATTGCTGGGGTGAGTGTTTATATAGCTATTGAAAAGCCCAAAGTAGGGGCTGAGGTTGTGGCTCAGTGGTAGAGTACTCGCCAACACACGTGAGGCCCAGGGTTTGATCCTCAGCACCACATGAAAATAAATAAATAAAATAAAGGTATTGTGTCCAACTACAAAAAAGAAAAGAAAAAAAAAAAAAGCCCAAAGTAGCTGGGTATGTTGGCATACCCCTGAAATCCCAGCAACTGGGAAGACTGAGGCAGGAGGATTGCAAGTTTGAGGCCAACCTCAGTAACTTAGCAAGAACCTCAGCAACTTAGGGTGACCCTATCTGAAAATAATATAAGAAATAGAAAAAGGACTGGGGATGTTGATGTTGCTCAGTGGTAAATTACCCCTGAGTTCAATCACCAGTTTAAATTTAAAAAAAAAAAAAAAAGTGAAGAGAAGACTGTATAAACAAGGTTTTAGAAAGAAACTCTTTTTAGCTATGAAAATATTACCACATAAGCTTAGTTCTTTTTGGGGGCGGGCGGATACCAGGGATTGAACTTTGTGGATTGAACTGAGCCACATCCCCAGCCCCTTTTATTTTTTATTTTAAGACTGATTTGCTGAGGCTGGCTTTGAACTTGTGATCCTCCTACCTTAGCCTCCCCAGTAGCAGGGATTACAGGGGTGTGCCATCACACCTGAGGCCTGGTCTCTTTTTTATTTTTTAATATTTTTTTTAGATGTTGATGGACCTTAATTTTATTCATTTATTTATATGCAATGCTAAGAATTGAATCCAGTGCCTCACACATGCTAGGTAAGCGCTCTACCACTGAGCCACAACCCTAGCCCACCCCTCACCCACCCCAAGTCCCTTTTATTTTGGGTACTAAGGATTGAACTCAGGGGCACTTGACCACTGAGCCACATCCCCAACCCTACTTTGTATTTTATTTAGAGACAGGATCTCACTAAGTTGCTTGGTACCTCACAGTTGCTGAGGCTGTCTTTGAACTCATAATCCTCCTGCCTCAGGCTCCTGAGCACTGGGATTACAGGTGTGACCCACTGTGCCCGGTTCTCCAGTCTCTTTTTTTTTTTTTTTAAAGAGAGAGTGAGAGAGGGGAGAGAGAGAGAGAGAGAGAGAAATTTTAATATTTTATTTTTTTTTAGTTCTCGGCGGACACAACATCTTTGTTGGTATGTGGTGCTGGGGATCGAACCCAGGCCGCACGCATGCCAGACGAGCGCGCTACCGCCTGAGCCACATCCCCAGCCCCTCTCCAGTCTCTTTTTAACCCCTTTTCTCAGATAACACATATAGCATACAATACAAGCCACAATTATTAATTAAATGGGTTTTTGTATTTTATAGTTGTGTAAGCATCACCATCAATTTTAAAATATTTTCCTCAGCTACGAAAGAAGAGAGTGAGGGGCTGGCATGGGTGAGGCCTTGGGTTCAGTCCCCAGCAACAAATGGTAATACATGCCTGTAATCCCAGCTACTTGGAAAAGTAAGGCAGGAGAATCACTTAAGGCCACCTGAACAGCATAGCAAGACTCCATCTTAAAAAGAAAAAAAGAAAAGCTCATGTGGTGGTGCAAATTTGTGATCCCTATGACTCAGGCTGAGACAGGAGGATCACAAGTTCAAAGCTGGCCCCAGCAACTAAGCAAGGCTCTAAACAACTTAATGAGACCCTGACTCAAGTTAAAAAAGGCTGGAGATGTAGCTCAGAAAGAGAATGTGAAAAGATGATCCATGCTGGGCACCATGGTGCACACCTATAATCCCAGCAAGTCACAAGAGGATTGCAAGTTCAAGGCTCATATTAGCAATTTAGTGAGCCCGTTTTAAAATAAAATTTAAAAAGGGCTGGGGATGTAACTCAGTGGTAGAGTGCCTCTACATTCGTTTCCCCGTTACACACAAACTTGCACAAAATAAAACACATCTACAATGGGAGGTAGTATTTGCAAATCATTTCAACAATGAAAAAGCAACCCCTGCAAAAGAAAGCAAACCAATTGAAGATGGGCACAAGATTTGATTAGATATTCCAAAGAAGATATACAAAAGAAGATATATGACCAATAGACAGGAAAAGATATTCAATAACATTAGTTATTAGGAAAATGCAATTCAAAACCACAAAATGCCAGTGCGATGGCACATGCCTGTAATCTCAGCAACTTGGGAGGCTGAGGCTGGAGGATTGCAAGTTCAAAGCCAGCCTCACCAACTTAGACTGTAAGCATCCTAGTGAGATCCTGTCTCAAAATAAAAAGGTCTAAGGATGTGTCTCAGTGGTTGAGCACCTCTGGGTTCAATTCCTGAGACTAAATAAAAAATGAAACAAACCGCACAAGATAACATATTACATAGACTAGAATGGCTATAATTTAAAAGCAAAAAAAAAAAAAAAAAAAACCCAAAACATTAGCAAGTATTGAGGAGAGGATGTGGAGAAATTGGAACCCACATGTGGTTGGTGATAATGTAAAACAGTGTAACTACTGTGAAAATCAGTTCAGCAGTTCTTCAAAATGTTAAACAGAGTTCCCATGTGACCCAGCAATTCCACTTCTCTATATATGTATATATCTCAAAGAATGGAAAACAGGGACTCAGCAGACACTTGTATATGAATATTCATGTTCATGTTGCAGGGGAAATTACAGCACTCCTAAGATGCCACCCCCAGTTCTCTACCTACCAGCTATAAGCAAGTACTAATCTACTTCTGTGTAGATCTGGATATTTCATATCAATGGAATCTTATATATGGCTTTTTGTATCTGGGTGCTTCCACTCAGTATAATGTTTTCATGGTGTGACTGTTGTAGCAATGTTAATACCTTCTTTTGATGATTGAATAATGTTCCATTGTATTATTATTGAGCCATTCATCAGTTGATAGGAATTAGACTTTTTAACATTTTTGACTGCTGGAAACAATGATGTTACAAACATTTGTGTACAAATTTTCGTGAGGGCATAGTTTTTAGTTTTTTGGGGTATACTCCTAGGAGTGGGATTGCTGGGCCAACTAAACTTTTTCCATAGTGGCTGCCTCATTTTATAATCCCACTAGTAATGTATGAAGTTTCCAATTTCTCCACCTCTTGCCCAATATTTATTTATTGTTACGTTTTCTTTCTTTTTCTTAAAGATGGAGTCTCCCTATGTTGCCCAGGCTGGTCTTGAACTCCTGGGCTCAAGCAGTCCTCCCAAGTTAGCCTCTTAAGTAGTTAGGACTATAGATGCCTACTATATATATGCAACACAACTTAATTGTCTTTTTTAATACAACCATCTCAATGGGTATGAGGTGAAGTGTTTCTCACTGTGGGTTTGATTTGCATCTCCCTGATGACTAATGTTGTTGAGGCATTTTCCTGTACTTATTGGTTATTTGTATATCTTTGGAGAAGTGTTTATTAAGATTCTTTGCCCATTTCTAAATATTGGGTTGTTGCTGGGTGCGGTGGCACATGCCTGCAATCCCACAATTTGGGAGGCTGAGACAAGAGGCTCCCAAGTGGCTCCCAAGTTCAAAACCACCTTAAGAACTTATCAAGACCCTGTCTCAAATTTTTTAAAAAAAGGGGGACAAAGGATGTGGCTCAATGGTTAAGCCCCTCTGGGTTCAATCCCCATTATGGGTAAGGGGGCTGAGGAGACAACCCAATATTTATAAATACAATTTTTTTTTTTGGTAGTACTGGGGATTGAACCCAGGTGCACTCTACCACTGAGCTATACCCGCAGCCCTTTTTAATTTTTTGAGACAGGGTCTCATTAAGTTGTCCATACTGGCCTCAAATTTGCCAGTAGCTGGAATTACAGGTGTGTGCCCCTGTACCTGGCTAGGCTTAGTTCTCTTGAAAGAAAGTCTTTTCAAAACATAATCAGAAAACAGAAATTCCTGAACTCTTTCACCCAGTATTTTCAAATCTGGAAACTTCTTCCAGGGAAATAAAATAGAAAAGAAAAAAGCCATTTGTTTAAAAATATTTATGTCAACATCAGTTAAAAAGAGGACATATGGAAATAGCTCAAATATGTATTTATATAACTATGGAATGTTATATGGCTGTTAAAATTATAAATATGATTAAACATGTTTCTGTATATTCATGAATTATAGTTAAATGCAAGAAATAGACAAGTTGGGGGAAGGATGCGAAGGTGACTGCTGGGTGACAGAAGGGTTTTTTGCAATGTTACAAAACAAAATTTCAAAATGAAGCACTGACCATCATTAGGTCTTCAGAGTGAAGTCACAGAGCAGGACTATGATCATCTTTTTCTAGTCTTTTCTAGGCATAGTTTTATCTATATGTGATTCATTAAAAAAAAATCTTGCCTCTGTCACTTAATATGTTACAATCCTGGCAGTTGAATGCTTCTGGACTGTTTTATTTTTTTTTTTTTAGTTGTAAATGGATCTTTTATTTTATTTATTTATATGCAGTGCTGAGGATCGAACCCAGGGCCTCACACATGCCAGGCAGGTGCTATACCACTGAGCCACAACTCCAGCCCCTTCTGGACTGTTTTAAACACAAGCATCATTGATTGGGGCAATAGCCATCCAGTGTATGTAGTACCTTCACTATTTAATTCCACTGGGAGATACAAGACTAACTTCTAGTTTTCCACTAGTGTATTCAGGGCTGGCATTAAAGTTGTTATATACCAAGCTGTTTCTGAATTTCAGATGAACCCCCTAAAATATAATTACAAGGGAAAGGGTATGGAAATTAATAAGAAAGCTATTTGTTTTTAGAATCTAAAGGCAATAGGTTTACTTGCAGACAATATGAAACCCACACAGAAAAGACTCACCAGATCCCCTCCTATTCCTAACTCCAGAAATAACAACCATTATATTTCTGTTTTAGTCAAGGCTTCTTTTCATGGACATGTGTGTATGTGCACATGTTATCGTTTTCTGTATAACTGAGATTGGGAGTGTTCTGTTAGGCAGTTCTGTAGACAATATTAGCATATTAGTTTCTTCCGACAACATTAAAAATATCTTTAGGTTCACCAATAATAATGCAAAATACTCCATGGTATGAATAGAACATCAGAACATCATTTACTCAACTGTTTTTGTGTGTGGAAATATTGCACTGATGTGGCTATCTTCTAGGCTCTTGGTACATCTTACTTTCTGAGTGAGTTATGATACTACGGTGTCATCACCAAAATATGGGTTATTTTTAATTGGTTTTTTAAAATTTAAGGGGTAAAGGTGTAGCTCAGTGGTAGAGTGCTTGCCTAGCATGTGGAAGGCCCTGGATTTAATTCCTAGTACCTAAAACAATAAGTATAAAAAGCTGGGTGCAGGGCTGGGGATGTGGCTCAAGCGGTAGTGCGCTCGCCTGGCATGCGTGCGGCCCAGGTTCGATCCTCAGCACCACATACAAAGATGTTGTGTCCGCCAAAAACTAAAAAATAAATATTAAAAATTCTCTCTCTCTCTCTCTCTCTCTAAAAAAAAAAAAAAAAGTAATAAAAAGCTGGGTGCAATGGCACACGCCTGTAATCCCAGTGGCTTGGGAACCAGGTAGGAGGATCATGAGTTCAAAGCCAGCCTCATCAATTAAGTGAGGCCCTAAGCAACTCAGCAGACCGTGTCTCTAAATAAAACACATAAAAGGGCTGGGAATGTGGCTCAATGGTTAAGTACCCCTCGGTTCAATCCCTGGTACAATCAATCAATCAATAAAATGGAAAAAATAAAAGTCAGAACATATTCCATGGAGAAAAGTTCACACAGAAAATACATATAAGATACCACTGCTAAGAAGTTTTTTTTATGTGCCATTCCAAAAATTTTGTGTCTATACACACAAGTAGACTAGTTAATTCTTTTAAATTTATTTTTTCTAATTTGTTATACATGACAGAAGAATGTATTTCAATTCATAGTACACATACAGAGCACAATTTTTTTATTTCTCTAGTTGTACACAAAATAGAGTCACACCATTTGTATGAGAATACATGTACTTAGGGTAATGATGTCCATCTCATTCCACCATCTTTCCCACCCTCATGCCACCTCCCTTCCTCTCCTTCCCCTTTGCCCTATCCAAAGTTCCTCCATTCCGCCCATGCTTCCCCCCACCGCCATTATGGATCAGCATCCACATATCAGAGAAAACATTTGGCATTTGGGTTTGGGTTTGGCTTACTTCACTTAGCATGATATTCTCCAACACCATTATTTACCTGCAAATGCCATGATTTTATTCTCTTTTAATGCTGAGTAATATTCCCTTGTGTGTGTGTGTGTATATATATATATATATACCAGAATTTCTTTATCCATTCATCTATTGAAGGACATCTAGGTTGGTTCCACAATTTAGCTTTTGTGAATTGTGCTGCTATAAACATTGGTGCGGCTGTGTCACTGTAGTATGCTGTTTTTAAGTCCTATGGGTATAAATCGAGGAGTAGGATAGCTAGGTCAAATGGTGGTTCCAACACACTAGTTAATTTTTAACCCAAGTAGGGTCATATTGTGTGTACTTTTCAACTTTTTTTCCCATTAATAAACAATTGGAATGTTTTTATTTGTTGGCTATCTCCTTCATTCCTTTAAACAGGTTAGAAAACTTCACAGCCTGGCTATACCATGATTCAATTAGCTGTTCTCTCCTGGACACTTAGATTGGTTCTTTAAAGTCACAAACATTGCTGCAACCAACATTCTCAAAGTAGTATTGGGAGCCATCCTGCAGCTTAGGATATTGTCACGTGTACCTTTGGCAGTCCTGTGTGCTGGTGTCATACCTCATGGCATGTGTTGGATGTCTCCCATGCAGGACCTCAGCTTGTAGTGGCTCTCTCAACAGTGATGAGACTCCATCCCCTGCTGTGAAGGCTTCCATCTTCACCCCGCCTGTCCTACTCAAGTTCCAGCCTGTTCCCAGACCCAAAGACGACTCAGAGAATGACCCTGGCAGTGCAGAGTCCGTGCTCCACAAGAGGAGTCCGTAACTTCTTTCCTACAAACCATGACTTGTGGAATGAATAAAGTTCCCATGGAGATGCCTTCCTTGTGGTGGGCTCCCTAGGAGTTGTGCAATCCCACTGGTTTAAATGGCTAACCTATCAAAGCGCTGCCCTTAACTCTGATTGGAAGAGTTCGGGGTTACAATCTACTTGATAGGCTAATTAAAGAATTAGGGCGGGCAAAAGGGAAGGGCTACAATTAGATCCAATTAAGGCTGAACACTGTTATGAAAATGAACCACTAGGCTTTATTTCTCACAGTATGGTCATTGTATTGTAGGCCTCCGCCTGGAAGGCAAATAGAAGTGGAGTGGAGGCTAGTGGGATTAAAGATTTCAGTCTCGTCAAGCGTGAGGGCACTCCTCTGTAATCCTTCGACTAGGGAGGCTGAAGGAAGATTATTCAAATTGGAGGCCAGCCTGGGTAATCTAGGAAGACCCTGCGTCAAAATAAAAATAAAAAGGGCTAGGATTGCAGCTCAGTGGTAAAGCGTCCTTAAATTCAATCCCCGTCCCTTCTTTGTCGGTCTCGGTCTCAATCCCCACCCCCCAACATGACACCAGACTTTTTCAAAGACCAGAGAATTTAGGTTGGGCTTGATCAGGGACGACACTGAGTTTTGTCTGGGCAGGTGAGAAGGCTCTTCAGAGGTTCCCAAGAAGATGGGGTTCTGAGAGATTAAAGGCCAGAACCCCCGCGCTCAGACTGGCCGCGCCCTGTTCCAGCCTACCCACTGGGTGCCCAAGAACCTTACTACCCAGCATGCCGAGAGGCCGCTTCCGGGGCGGGTCTGCAAGACCCGGAAGTGGTGAGGAAACTCCGAGGAGGCTTGGGGATCTGAGTGGTAGGCGGTCACTTTTTCGCTTTAGCTGTTTCTGCTGCTGCCACCGCTGCCATGGGGAAACGACAGCACCAGAAGGACAAGATGTAAGTTGAGTCTCAGCTGGGATTGGCGCCACGCTCTGCTCAATCCCCTGCCTGATTTAGCGCCGCTGCTGTTTCTCAGAGTTCGTCGAGAGGCCATTAAAAATTGTGACTTCCGGAAATTCCCACCCCCTTCTCCAGGCAGCCTCCAACCACCACGGTTTGCTTGGATTAAGCCCTGATATGGTCTCTTGAGCGCGACCCTTACACTGGCCTTGGCGCTCGATTTGAACCGTCTCCTTTACTTCTCAGAATTTGCCTGGGACCGCCCCGGCCACCCATTGTGAGCTTTGCTCTTGCATTAGTTAGTAGTCTCTCCTGCATCTTCAGTCTCCCTGGATGCTGGTTCACACTTAGCCTACACATCTCTAGTCTGTAGTTTAAGACAAGCCAGCCGGGCGCAGAGGCGCACGCCTGTAATCCCGGCGACTCGGGAGATTGAGGCAGGAAGATCGCAAGTTAAAAGCCTACCTCGGTAATTTTGCGAGGCTGAATTAAATCCTTTCTCAAAATAAAAAGGGCTGGGGATGTAGCTCATAAATAAGGGGTCCTGGGTTCAATTCGGTACCAGAAAAAAATAAAAACAAGCCAACCGTGTCCCTTCCTTTCCTCCAGCTACCACCATGTTTCTTTGATTCTGTTCCTAACAAGTGAAAGTCTTGTGTCTCCTTGCTGTTTTCTGCTGTGTCTTGAAACCACCTCAGTCAGACTTTTGTACCCAGAACAGCCCTTGTGAAGATACCGTTGTCTTCTGTGTTGCCAAATCTGGTGTTCTCAGAAGCCTAAAACACAATAATTACTCCTTCCTGAAATCCTTCTTCAGTGTCTTGATTCCCACGTGCTTTGTTTTCCATCTACTTCAGTGTCCTCTCTCTTGAGTTTCCTTTCCTGGGCCTTCCTCCTCTTCTCTCAGACCTCATAGGTTTCTTCCCCATTATTTTGTCTGTGAGTGATCTTTCTCAGTCATCCATAAGTTGAAGTTGATTGATTTTTTTTTTTTTTGGTACCAGTGATAGAACCCAGGGGTGCTTAACCACTGAGCCGCATCCCCAGGTTTTTGTATTTTATTTAGAGACAGGGGCTCACTAAGGTGTACAGGGCCTCCTTAAATTGCTGAGGCTGGCTCTAAACTCTCTTGCCTCAGCCTCCCAAGCTGCTGGGATTACAGGCATGTGTAGCTGGCCCAGCCAAAGTTGATTTCTTTATCTTTCCATAGTGAGCTATTTACTTGACATCTTCCTGTGAAGAAGAACTGGTAGATGTCTGGGAGTTTCTTTTTCTTTCCTTTTTTTTTTTTGATAAGCATTTTACTGTATACTGTATATGTTTTACTGTATATACTGTATATATATATATTTTTATATAAGCATTTTACCAAGGCTGGCCTGGAACTCATCATCCTCTTGTTTTAGCTAGCCTTCTGAGTAGCAGGGATTACCAGTACATGGTACTACCTGAAAGTTAATATTCTCTATATTATTATTGTTCTGTCACTATGACAATATCCCTGAGAACTAAAGTAGGGAAGGTTTATTTTGGCTCATAGTTTCAGTCTATGGTCAACTGATTCTATTGCTTTTAGACCTGTGATGAGGCAAAACATCATGGTGGATCAGAGCTGCTGTCCTCATGGCAACTGGGAAGCACAGATCAAGGAGTGGTCCAAGGACAACATATGCTCTTCCAGGACATGCCCCTAGTGACCTACTTTTTTCACTAGGCCTCACCTCCTACAGTTTCTACGCCCTCCCAATAGTACATTCAATTATGAACCAGTTAGTTGATTAATACATTGATGAACTCAGCCTTCATGATCTGATCACTTCCCAAAAGCTCTACTTTTGAACATTGCTGCATTAAGGACCAGCCTTTCAGCACGTGAGCCTTTGAGGGATATTCCAGATACAAATTATAACACATCCTAAACAAAACTTTTGATTTTCATCTTTTTACCCTAACCTCTGACCTCCTCCCTATTTCAGTGGTTATATCACTATAGATGGTCCCTAACCTTCTGTGAGTTAACTTAACAATTTTTCATCTTTATGATGGTGTGAAACAATGTGCATTCAGTAGAAACCATACTTTGATGTTTGACTTTTTTTTTTTTTTTTTTGGTACTGGGGGTTTACATTATGTGAGATATTCAACACTTTTTTTGGTGTTTGTGTATGTTGCTGGGGGTTGATCTCAGGCCTCCTACGAGGGCTTCTATCACTGAACTATATCCCAGGCCCTAAAATAAGCTTTTTGTTAGATATTTTTGCTGAGTGGTGGGCTAATGTATGTGTCCTGAGTATGTTTAAAGTGGACTAGGCTAATCTGTCATGACCAATAAGTTAGGTGTATCAAATGCATTTTTAGCTTAGGATGTTTTCAACTCAGGATGGGTTTTTCAGGGCATGGTTCCATTAGAAGCATCTGCTCAGGTCAGAGGTCTGGTTGTTGGCCTTGATGCCTTTCATTATTCCTGTCCATCAGGAAGTCC